CCCGAGGGTCCCCGTCTCGTTTTTTATACATTTATATTCCATGTATGTTCTGATTTTGTGCATGAAAACAGTAATAATCACAACTTGCAGGTTTGGAACACTGAGAAACTGAGTCACTGTTTCCTTCAAGCCAACACTGAACACAAAAACGTCAGGAACTGCTCCAGACTTTAAAAGGTCAAATGCAAATACGCAGCCGCTGTAAAAACCTTATAGGAGAACTATTAAACTCTCAAAAACATTTCAAACTACTGCAACCTTCCACACAGTGAAACCACAGGGTAGCCCTTTTGTTTCTCAATAAAAGGCAGGAGGAGCTGACGTAGAAGTGTTGGGGACGGGGCCATGTTTCCAACTGGACTCACTCATAAAACTGTATACACTTGTAGTAACTTTTGTCTTGTGATAGTTCTCTCTGCAGCTACAGTTTTCACATGTACTGCAGTGGAACAGAATAAAATAAACAGAACTCAAAATGATGAATCCAAGCTGACTTCATACAGTAATGTTAGGTCAGAATAAATAGAGACACAGTTTCCGAGGTCAGTCAGTTGCGCTGATGTACACTGTAGTTGTATAATGATGTTGTGTAATATTTTCCTCAGAGACCAAGTCTCTGACTAAATCTGAACTTTGTGACTAAGAGTCACATGTGGGAAAGTCTTATTGCTGCCCTAAAACCAGAAGCATTGGGGTGAATAGCTCCAACAAAAAATCAAACTCCACTTTTATGGCTCAGATATTGATGGTTATCACATGCAACCCAGAGTTTTAGTTGACAAATGCTGACTTTGATTTTCTCTGACCTGTTTATAATGTCGACTGCAAGGTGGAGCGGTGGTTCGCACTGTTGCCTCTCAACAAGAAGGTCACCGGTTTGCATCCCGGTGAGGACACCAGAGATCTTTCTGTATGGAGTTTGCATGTTCATGCAAACACTAAATAAACAACTAGATATTTAAACTATAAGTTCAGTCATTAACATTAATCAGCTTCTTAATTTTAAAGGATTCAATATTTTTCTGTTGGGTGACAAAACAATTTCCACCTGTTGAGAAAAACCTTTCAAAACTCTGCATCACTAAATCACAACCCCAAAATTTAATTTGCTTCCCTACGATTGGCAAATCTAAAAAAAAAAAACCCACAACAACAAAGAAATGAAGAGTTCATTTGCAGAAACAGATAACTCCATCTTCACAAACCTTCAGAAAACTCACTTTTCCATCATCTACCTGAGACAGTATCAGTCAAACTTAAGTTATTTCTATTTTTGTCATTTCTACTGAGTCAAATCCACTCAACTTCAGTTTGATTGATACTATCTCAAGCAAATAGTAGCAAAAAAAAAAAGCAAAAAACTAAACTTCATCTTTTGTTGACTTGTCCCAGTCCCACTGTGCAGCATCATGTCCAACCCTCCCTCTCCTACACTGACTCTGCTGCCAATAAACTAACCTCACTCACTCCAGCGTCCCACCAGAGGAGCACAGATGAGGACAAATGCAGCGACTATGAGGGTCTTTATCTGCTACGAGGGCTTCAGCGAGCCGTTTGACGTCCCTCCTGATCAGACTGTGATGGCCTTGAAGCAGGCGGTGAAGGTAACGTAAAAGTTGTGGCTCATGGCCTTTTCTGATACTTAATTATTACTTGGCAGGTTTTGATTGATGGATTGATCTTAACTTTGTCCTAATGTTGCAATTCCAGGTGGATAATATGAAAAAAACACTGGCGTGAACTATTTACATTATGTGTGAACAATGTTTTTCAATCAGCTCACACAGAAAAGCAAATGCAACACTGGAAATAAACCATTAGGATCTTTGTTTCTTGGTCAGTGCTCTCATGCCTTGCTAAATTTCCACTCTTGTTCTTTCCTGCAGAGCAACTTTCTTGTGCAGCTGTCCGATGACGAGCAGGCCAGACAGTACCTGGAGCTGAGTTATGGAGGCGCAGCGCTGCATGACAGCTGGGCTCTGAGTGACGTGGGCATCACAAGTGGCAGTACCATCCGATGCTTCGTAAAGGTATTAAAATATCAAAAGGGGTTTAGATTTTTGGAGCTGCATCGGGATTTGCTTTAAACACAATCAGCTTAACTGCCACACAGAGATGCACATGTAAGCCTACACTAATGCTTCCCTTCACCCTGTATATACTTTACTTAAACAAATGATTGCAGTGCAGTATTGGCATAAATTCATTTTATTTGCACAAAACAAATTGATTTTAAATTCACAAGACTTTTGTATATGGAAACATGTAAAACCTTGTTGCTAATGTCAACACAGTTTTCTAATAATTTCAAACATTTTTATTATTACTCTAACTTTCCTCAGGCTCACTTCTTCCTTTTCTGAGATCCAGACACAATTTTTCACTTACATCGATGTCTTACTCAACAACACTTCTGCAGAACTTATGCTTGCTGTCACTGGAGCTTTATGTTAATGCTTATTATGTTCAGCATGCAAGATGGGAGGACATGTATGTAGTTTTTACAGAAAGATCAACAGGCATTTCTGATGGTGCCTACAAACTGCTTGAACATTATTTCTACTATTGCAAAAAGCATTCAGCATTCCTGTGCTTTCCTCAGTAAAGTTATATAGACTGATCTGTAAAGACTATAATTCCATCTATTTGATAGAATATATAAATATGTGATTGTATAAAATGTCAACCGCAGAGTGACAGCAAACTTCATCATTACATGACAACTATAATGGTGAGATATCATTTTCAATTCCTCCTTCAGTTCAACTTTTGTTAGATTTGAGCATTAAATATAAAGACAGATAACTGTCATAAAACAACTGTATAACTATAGAATGTATTCCATGGTTTATTTCCTCTCGTCTGGGATTAAAACAATATTTGTGAAACAGTTTGAGTTATAAGTTAATGCTTGGTACATAATTTCCTCCTTAAGCAACGCTTGAGAACAAATTAAGTACAGTTTAACATGCTGAATGTAATAGAAATGGGATTTTGACCAATGTAGGTCTGAATTATACCTATTCTTAGAATTTTATATAACTTTTTTAGGTAGACACTGATCCTCGGTGGTGTGATTAAGTACATTTACTACTACTACTACTACTACTACTACTACTACTACTATTGTTATTATTAGGGTCCGAGGACCCCTACTTGCTGCAGCAAGCAGGGGTCCTTGCCCGACAACAGTGCAACAGTGCTACCAACTGTGCCACCTTGCAGCCCAGCCTTCTTACAGTATACAAATTTTTTAAATCAGTTCGACGTCCATCAGCTTCAATATATGAATTCTGTGTCCATGTGGATGCATCAGTGTGACATATAACAATAGTGAAACATACAAAAATAGAACAGATAGGGTCCATTTTGGTGTGTCATGATTGTTTTTATTTTTATACTTGAAGTACATTTTCTTTAGAATACTTGAGTAAGGTTTGGCGTTTGTTTGGAGTACTATTTGTGGTATCTTTACTTTTACTTGGGCAAAAGATCTGAAGACTTCTTCCACTGTCGTACTTTTTCCTCACTTGTCGTTGTGCCATTCTGATTACTTTCAGACCGAACAAAGGCCTGTGATGTACGTGTTCAACACTGTGACAGGAGAAACTCTACCAATAGCAGGAAATGAGTCTCTCCTTCACACATCTGTGGCCAAACTGACGACCATGATATCTGTGCAAAGTGGCATTCCAGTCAGCACCTTCAGGCTCAGCACGCCTGCTAATGTGCAGCTCTACGACTGCAACCAGCTGCAGGACTACGCCATTAAAACGGGTACGGCCGCCTTTCTTTCTGTACAACTCTTTCATGATTTATATGTTTATTTTCATCATAAGAGCTGTAGCTAATTACCTGAAACATCTGTGAATAATTTAATATTATGTGTGATAATTTCACTAAAACGGCTGGAAATGGCATCATGTCTTGGTTTGTACTGTGCTGAATTACTTTATAATGCATCAAATTGTGGTTGCTGTAGGCACCATTCTCCGTTTGGACACGTGGGATGGGTGGGTGGAGTTCCTTCGGGGCTGCCTCCAAGGCCATAGATTGACCGTCCAAGGCCACCTATCAGAAGAGAAGCCAGTAATGAGGTTAGAAGTTTCTTTAAATAAAAGGCTTACACTGCTCCTTTGTTTTGCAGCATATCAATACAATGTGAGTACACACAAAAAATAGATTTATTCCACTTGTATCAAGGCAAACTTTCTTTTCCTGTGGTTCCAGGTTTCAGCTGCGGGTGGCACTGTACATCGCTGCCTGGTCAGGCCACCTGGACCTGGCAGGCTGGCTGCTGGAAAGGGGAGTTCATCCAGAGGAACCAGTGGGAGTTCATCCATACCGACAGTGGTGCCATCAAACTGCCCACCAGGACACCAGAAAATGTTCCACCCATGCAGCTGCAGAGAGCGGTCAGCTCCTCATCCTCAAACTATTCATCAACAGCAACATTTTGAGCTTGGCTTGTCGGGATCCTGAAGGTCGCGACCCTTTGAAAATTGCCATTCAGTGTGGTCACGGGGAATGTGCACGCTACTTAGCCAACAAGCTGTGCTCAGTAGTATCTCTGCCAAATATGTCCCTGCCCATGCGCATCTACCTCCAAATAAAATGCTGGGTAAGTTCAGGGAAAAAGAGAGCAGCCTCCAATAGATGCCAGTACAACAGTGCTGCTTTTAAAGCCAGACTGGGGAAAACATTGCTGGTGGACGGCTTCAACCAACCAAAGATGTCTTCTAAATCCAGGGGAGCTGCGACCAAGCAAGGAAGAGGAAATAAGGCTTTACTGCCCATCAGAAACTTACTGTCAATATCCCATCTCCCCTCCAAAAGGGCAAAACCCCTCCTACCCAGCCTGCAGACTATGAAGGAGATGCAGGAAAAGCATGAGCGACGTATGGAGAGCAGAGAGGATGGTCTGTTTAATAAAATAAAAGAAGAAAACAATAGCCTTCGCAAGATCAACTTTAAACTCCCACCAGTCAACAGAGAAAATCATCCCAAGTTGATGTTTATTGGTTCCTCAATAAAATCCTGCAATACTCCGGAAGCATCTCTGGAGTTCTCTCATCACTGTGGACAGAAGCTCAGAGAAAATGTGGTGTACTGCTTGACCATGGCCAGGTTTCTGTATTCTGTACTGCATATGTTCACATGCAATAAAAATCTGATGGTTCCTTTAAGTGCCATCTTATTTGAGGTTCATAGCAAACAATCATTGTATATTATTGAGACAAAATAATTTTTTTCCTGAAGTTAAATTATTTATGCCTCCATCACTTTTTATGCTTAAATCCTCCCTTTTACTAGTTAAAGATATATTCACTGTTCCTGCTAAGAGGAGCAGCATTCATTGTAATTTAGTAGGTGCTCTAAACATCAAGATATTTCTGTAATTGATGCAGGGGCGTCTGTAATAAGACCAATCTCTGCATTTAAGTTTACATTTTGTGTTAATTTTAGTGGTAAACCTGAGCAATCTGTTAAATCAAATAACCCTGCTAAAATGAAATCACAGCCAGTTATTTAACTCTAAATGGCAATTGAATGTGACACATGGCAGCTTAAATGACTATTTTCTTTCTTGTTTATATAGCACCTTCACAGAGAAACCTTGGATGAAGCAGCTGGACATAGCGCGGACTCTGGTCAGGAAGCATGTCCACTCCATGGACCGATGCTCATGAATCTCATCTCACATCCACATCTGTCGGCCATCGGTCCAGCTGCATGTGGAGCTCCCATCAACTGCCTGAAACACTGTGGACGACAAAGAATCCTTCAGACTGACAACTGAGAAGTTTATCTCAGGCTTAGTGTTAACCGAAAGTTAAACCTGCCTATGTTTGTCTATATTTGCTTAACCAAAGAAATATAGACAGAAATCACTGATGGGTCTGTTTAAAGAGCTGTTTGTGAAAGCGATTTTTTTGTGAGACGCTAGTCCAAGTTAGGACTAGCTTTGTGAAATTACTCACCTTTAGTTGAGGATCAGAGCACTAACATACTGTAGCATCTGCCCTCACTATGACTGTGTGCAATGAACTAACCTAAACACTTTTCAAATAAAAGTTGAAGACATCAGTTGGCCTTTTTTTTAATTTTTATTTTTTAAAGTGGAACCAATTGCATACTGTAAGGACACTGTTGTATTTGATTGTTGCAAATCATAAAATATTGAGATTCCATGAACACAAACTGAAACAATGGTGACATAAAAAAGAATTAGTACTGAGCAAAGAATTTGTTAAAAGCTCAGTTTATGTGCCTTGAAGTGAGAGATGTACAGACACACTAAGTGCAAATGAGTGACCCAGCAGGTTGCCCTCATCAAACTTCTACTGAGGATTAGATGAAATGATGTAGATGACAAGAATATAATTAGTGTTACTGTCTACGCAAGTAAATTGTTATCCTAAATGTCTTCTAAATAAAACTGCACAGTGCTATACTCACCTCTGTTTACATTTTTTGTTGAATTAAGGTTGCTGGGACACAAAGTCCACAAAAAAAGAACACCAATGAAAAATGAGTAAGGACAGGAAGATACTAAAATTAGAGTGAAGCCAGGAGGTGGAAAATAAATAAATAAATAAATAAATAAATAAAAATTGGTCACATTTCATTGGCTATAATCCCATCATCCATCCATTATCTATACACTGCTTAATCCTCACTGGGGTCGCGGGGGGGGCTGGAGTCTATCCCAGCTGACTCAGGGTGAAGGCAGGGGACACCCTGGACAGGTCACCAGTCTATCACAGGGCTACACTTAGAGACAGACAACCAAGCACACTCACATTCACACCCACTGACAATTTAGAATCACCAGTTAACCTCAACATGGTTTTGGACTGTGGGAGGAAGCTGGAGAACCCGGAAAGAACCCACGCTGCACGGGGAGAACATGCAAACTCCACACAGAAAGATCCCGGGTGTCCTCACCGGGACACCAGCCAGCGACCTTCTAGCTCCTTCTAGCTGCAAGGCAACGATGCTACCAACTGTGCCACCTTGCAGCCCCAAATACAAATATAAGAACATTTAAATTTGAAATTAAAATTGAAGAAAAATATCATAAAACAGAACACTAATAACTAGAGGCTGCAGAAACCAACACAAGGCTCAACTGCATCAGATTTAGAGTCATGCAAGAGCACTAGGACATATTATGTACAACAATACCGCAGTAAGACAAGATGATGACATAATCGGCATGTCCACAGATAGATGGACAGGAGGATTATGTTGCAAGAGTGATTTAAAAATGCTATACGTACATTTTGAAAATGTTTCCACACGTGAAACATGCACTATGACAATCAACAGCATCTGTGATGAATTCAAGTTGACACAACAGCCTACAATTTTTGTCAAAGTAGCAACAGTTACTTACAGTGTTTTTTTCTTATTATAAAGTCATCCTCAAATTTATTCATACCCTCCCATTAAAGAATAAAAATTCAATGAAAATCAGAACAACAAAAAAACAAGCAAACAAGTAAACAAATATTTTATTGAACAAAGTTTTGAGACAATCACTGCAATCAAGTGTTTTCTGTAACTCTCAGACTTCTGCACCTGTTGACAGATATTTTTATGTTGGCCCAGTGCTCATCAGCAAAGTGCTCTGATTTGTATAGTTTAAAAAAAAAAAAAAATCTTTTCAACCACAATTCAAAAGCAATGTCTTATTTCACTAAATTATAATTTAGCATTTTTTAAAAATGTAGTATTACTTTTTTCAGTTTCTAATTGTTTGAATGACTATTGTGAATTTTGCTTTTTCTCTAACGCAAGTGTATGAGTACATTTGAGGATGACTGTAAATTAAGCACCAATCACATATCCACAATACTTTTGTCCTCTTTATCCTCTAATTTAGCACAAAGGTAATGCTAATGCAGTCATTCTCTCAGTCATGTTAATATTAAGAATATCAAGTGTTAACCAAAATACTATTGTTGCTGCATTTTATTATTCCACACAAAAGGTAGTCACATGTTTGTTTCTTATGTTTCTGAAGCACACATTTCCGAGCACCAGAAGGCAGCACCCCGGACGGGATGAATTCACGTTTCTCAAATCTCGCGATAAGCCCAGCCGACCCGCTAGAAGCGCTGTTGCCCCACCAGCCAGCGAGCAGCCGGACAGTAGACATGCTAAACCGCCAGTGCACGCAGGTTTCCCCGGAGTTTATGGAGGAGCACTGAGTTATGACGGAGCGCATGTTTGAAACGCAACCTGCCTTTGGGATTTGACTCGCAGAAATCACCGAATAAAAAAAAAAATAAAACAAATAAAACACGGTTTGAGGAGAAGCAGTTGAAAGCCAGCCGGTCTGACAGTCAGCGTGTGGGAATGGCAGCTCCCCGGCCGATAAAAGGCATCCTGAAAAACAAGAACAGCGGTACAAACGTCAAATCGCTGCCCGACGACGAATCAGCAGAGAATACCGAACAAGCCCCGGGACTCTCGGAAGATGACCAACAGTAAGTTTTCTGCTTAGCTGTGCTCAGGTTGGTAAGCAGGTAACATTAGCTAGCGATGGCTAAACACTTGTTAGCCTCGCCAACGTTCCTCCGGCTGTCACCTCTCCGGCTTTCGGTGCTGGCCGCCGCCGTGTATCAGAACTTTCTGGGTCTGACTGGCTGCTGTCAGAGGGTCTCTGACTAAATGTTAATGTAACCGACAGCTAACGTTGACCCCTGGAGCCCATTGGTCCGGTTAGCTTGCTCGTTAGCTCAGTAATGACAGTCACGACAGGTTTTATGGTTGTAAAGGTGGTGATAGTAAGTAGCGCCGAAACATGAATAAGTTTTACTGTCGACTAGCATGACTTAGTGCTAGTTAGAGAAGATGCTAAATAGTTATCGTGACTGTTACAACTCCCAGACAGAGATGACCATATAAGGTAAATTAGCAAAAACTTAAACAAAGTGGCGCCCGCATGTAGCTTCATATTGACACAAGTATTGCCTAAACTACTCCACTTTATCCTCCATACAGCCTAGTATTAGCTCACCTGTATCATTAAGTTAGTATAACCTGCCTGCCAGTAAGTTTTAAACGCACAGTGGTTATAATTTTCAAAAGCCATAGTAAGTTTTTAAACACCTAATATGAAGCCAGACACTGCTAGCATGCAGTGTCTCTATACATTAATTGCACTTTACAGTACATTATCTGCTGCAGGTTACATTAGCGTGATCAATACCAATTTACATTAAGCAACTGAAAGCCACAAATACATTTTATTGTACACAAACGGTAAAAAAAAAAAATCTACGTTGACAGGCATTGTGATTGAAATCAGATAGTAATCAGATTGAAACCAGTATACAGCAGTAGGTAGACAAAGCAGAGCTGGGTTTCCTCTATTTACCTCTGTCAGTGTCAAATGCAACACTTGCTGCTACATCTGACACTGACAGCTGTGTTACAGGCCCGCGCTGGCACCGAGGCACCGGTCTGTAGTCGAAAAAGGCAGCAGCCTGTGATAAACATGGCTATTCTCATCTGTTAATCTCACACCCACCCTTCTTATGTTCAAATACACCCATCGCCTTCTGTTGAATATTTGCGCTTATCGGTCAAATCTGTCCTTCTGAACACATCTGATGTGCCCTTCAATCCAGCCACCGAGTTGGTTTTGTGTCGGTGTATGTGTCACATTGTTTGACTTGAACTTCCATCCTGATGTTGGCCAAGGTGACAGCTCATATAGCCACTCACAGCAGAGGGTGCTTGACTGAAATATCTAGTGTATTCGTCGGCATGAGGGACATCTCAGGTTAGCTCAAGAGCATTGCAGGGAAAATAAATTGTGGGCCACACACTCGCAGCGTAAGGACGTGACTAGGGTTTCTAATGATATGCTGACATGGAGATTATGAAAATTTGGTCTGAGACTGCTAAATCAGCTCTTCTGTTTGCTAATAGGTACTTGGCCTCAGCGTCAAGTCGTCGAGTTAGAGGTTGGTTTCTCTTTGAAGCCTTTGCCTTCTCATATGCATTGATTTCACTGGTAGTGACACTTTCACTGTGGCAGCGGGACTTAACACCCCAAATCACCAGTCACTGGTAGGTCATTTCAGCGCTCTGCTCTCTCACAGCCAGCGCTCAGTGTCCCCCTGCCCTCGGGACACTGTGGACATGCAGAGTTCACGGTGCGATGCTGTTGAATTAGGTTGCCAGCAAAGTCCGAATGTAGAATAGGGACATTATACTTGAACAAGGTGGCTGCTTAAGGAGTCAGCTCAGGGAAACCTATACATTACCTTTTAATAGAAATGATTCTACTATGCTCAGCTTTTGGGAATATCTTTCATTGAATTTCTGAGTTAATCAAACACTAGGCTATGTGGAGGAAATTTGCAGTTTGCACAGGGAGACAAAACCTGATGAAACACAAACTGCATTTAGTGTATAGCTGTGGCACAATTCAATTATGAATAAATGTGTCCTTAGTTGGATAGCTTTACACGTGTGTGTCATCTGAGAACTGAGTAACGGGGTGGAATTCCTGAAGCAAAGAAGGGTGCAGATCTGCACAAGGAGTGAAGAGACTAATGCATTACTGCATTGCTGCTCTGGTGCTTTTACAGTGCCCTTGAGCAAGTGTATGTTGTGCACTGCAAAGCACATCTGCCACTTTGCTTTAAAAAACAGTTGCTGGAAACTAAAAGAATGCATATTTAAAAAGTATGTTTCCAACAACTGACTTAAAATATGCTGACGTGAGAAGGTTTAAAGACAATAAATGCACAACCATATGAGCACTTTTAGGGCTCTACATGAACTGAATTCTGTCTGCTTTACAGTCATCTACTTGAATTAACACCACCCACCTGCCAAATGCAGTTAAGTCTTTGGTGCTAGTTAGAAAATCTGCCTGCTGGGTTGGGCAATGAACCATATGGATATTTTAATCCCTTAAAAATTGGATCTAATGCAAATAAGAAAAAAGTAGAAAACTTATATAAATATGATAATTTAGATACATGTTGTTGTGCATTGTGTACTGCATCAGCATCAAAATCGATCCATTTCATGATGTTACTCTCCCTGTCATGTATGTCCTACCAGTTTCTGTGGAAAGCATAACCAGTTCGTCTGTATTTGGTCAATGTCAAATATTCGATTTCTCATCCACTGTGCCCACTGTTACGCCGGCAGGTGTAGACATTAGAAACAGTCCTCTCTGAGCCTGCGGCATGAGAAATTAGGCCATAGAAGGATGGCAGTTATTAGCAAATTCCTTTCCCAACAGTGAATCAAGCTTTTTCTGTGTTGTTACAAAAATAGTCTCTCTTTGAGTGACGAGGAAGTGGAGGAAAAAGAGTTTTCTGGAAGGATCTCGTGTGCAGCCAAGCACCAAATCCTCAGAGGAGAACAAGGGCTGACCATGCTGTGCCCATGCTGCCACTGTCAACTCTGAATCGAAAGAAAATACACAAACTCTCAGGCCTTGTCCACACACACACGGATATTTTTTGAAACACAGCTTTTTCTATGCAGTTTTGGCTTTTCCCCACTTCCAAACAGTTTTGATCACAAAAAATGGACATGTTTGTAAAACTTGTTTAGCGAGTCTGTTTACACTGTTGATGTGTAGACGAAGGAAGCTCAGTTTTGGATTGTGAGAGTCAGATTATGCAGTGGTATGTCCTTCATTAAGACGGTTTTGTGCAATGGTGGTTGTGGCCAAAATGGTGCTAATCTTACTAATAGCTTTTTTTTTTTTTTTTTTACATGTTTACACATAAATGTACAGTTACTCCTCTAGTAGATCGAGGAAAAGAATTAGTCAAGACATATTGATCAATGTGCCATTGCAGATAGCCTGATACAACTCAGTCCTAATGCACACAGAACACACAGTGACGTTCATACATTGGTATTTCCTACATGATTGTTTTTCATTATTACTTCCATGAAACTCCCAGATGACATAAACTTAATAGGATGCAGCTAAAAAACAAAACTCCTCCCAGTATATTCTAAGTGCATTTATGTCAGGGATTATCAGTGTGCAGTATGATTTAAATAAGTTTTATCATAGAACCTGTCTGGTTTTGGTTATTCAGGCAGTCTGCACTCCAAGGAATATGACCCATTGAGTCTTTTGTTTTAGTCACAAGAGAACAAAAAAAATCTGCGGGCTTCATTTCTACCATTGTTTAGGACAGCAGTGCTCACACTGAGCTTGACAACAGCCCAAACATGTTTTCCTTCTTATCTGCTTCAATTGTGTGGAACATATTGCATTGCCTTCTCAGCTCATTCTGCAGCACCCAGAGGATATCCTGAACAAATACGTACCTCCCAACACTCATTTAGTTGACCACCTGTCCGTGTTTAGACAATTCAGCTTCCCACCATAGATTTGAAGTCAGAACCTATCCTTTAACAATGCAGATTTATGGTTTACAGGCATCACAGCATGGCTCTGTTAATATCTTTTAGAATATCTTTTTACCACTTAGATTTTGCGATCTGCAGAGGTAGTGCTGAATGATTGAAAATACAAGATAATTGGGTCTGGTAGCAAAAGATCTAAAGATACAAAATAAAATAATAATAATTGGAATTATATAGGGACCCACAAGTTTATTTGTTTATTTCCTTTGTAAGTTTCTTTCAGCAGGGCAGGGCGATGTCAAGCTTTGACCACTTTTTCTTTATTATCCCTTTAGTCATCCACCATTATTTAGTTAACAGTGATGTATGAGCCTCACACCCAGTCATATATAATTCATCGGTGCTCCCATGAAACTCTATCTCTCCTTCACTGTCTTGCAAGCCTCATCCTGACTGTGCGATGGACAGCTTGACTGTCAGGCAGTGAATCTCTGGCCTCCCATAATGTGGACAGAAAAATACCACTTAGACCACTCAGACATCTTACCCTCCCCAGTACAGGTCAGATGAGGTCGACTGTGGCCACAGAAATTAATACAATTTCTGTACTGATGGGAAACTGACAAAGCCAGAATCAACAGGTGTCTGAAAACCCGCTTACAAGAATAGGGTGGCAGCAGCTTTAGTACAAGGCAGTAAAAGAGAAATACTTTTACTGTAAGGGTTATCTCCCTCTTTATTGTTTCTCGTATTCTTGGCACGGGGGTAGGATATAAGTTAATTTAGTGCAACACCATCTATGGGTGTATTTCTGTTCAGATGAAATGAAACATTTGACCTTTGTAGCGGCAGTTTTTGCTCTTGTAGAGTCCCTCCAGCGAACGTCAGCTTTACTTGTTAGTGTAACAATAAAAATCCTCTGCATATTTTGTAGAGGAGCTCATCTTTCTCCACATCACGACTTCATCATGATCACTGATGTGTTCAGTGTTCCTTCCCTCCTCATTGCTCTGCTTCTTCTCTGATGTACTTTTTCTCTACAGTCTGGACAGATGACAAGAGCTTAAGAAACAGTTTTAGTCCTCATTCCAGCTGGCTATCTCTCAAACTTTGTGCAAGCCTTTCACTGCTGTCTGACCAGAGGGAGCACTGATTCACGCTTGTGTTGACTGTAAATATAGAAAATAACAGAAAAAGGCAGATACTCTCAAATTCCAGATGGTTTTACCAAAAAAAAATGGTAGTTCTCTCTATCGTGAGCCATCAAAAGTTAAGTTACTGTCATTGAGCTTTGAGAAAACATCCGATTATTTGGCACTGACGTCTTAACATGTAACCAAATGTAGATGCTTTCACGCCTGTTGTTTTGTTCCTGTGATCAAGGATACATTGAGGGAAACACGCATGTTCCCATGGTGACCAAATGAGTCCCATAAATATACACAGTGCTTTTGCAGATCTAGTGTAAGATCAGTTTGCACAACCGTTTTCAGTCAGGAAGAAGATTTAATAGGAGTTAGGCTTGAGAGGGTGTGTCGACCAATATGGATTTTCCAGGCCAAAGATCCGACTGATACAGATTATTAGTATTCAAGGAGGCCAAATAACGATATTTTGATCAGATATTCATTCAGTCTTTTTGTTTAAATTTAGAATAACACAAGCTCCAATGCACAACTTTATGGAAATGTTCTGTTTATTTAGGTCTTACATGTGTTTCATTAAAAGAAACTTCTCAACATTTATCATTCAGTGTTGATGGATGATTACTTGTAATTTGCCGACTGCATCAGAACCAACGTAGCACATATTTTATGCCACTAACAAACAGCTCAATCGGGTAGAGACGTTCCTTTTCACTCCGGTTGTTTCGTCCTCACCAGCGTTCAGCAGGTTTAACACCAGTCATAACAAGCGATAACAATGCACCTGGGGTTAAAGTACAACTTAAAGAAACCTGTACAATCTTTATTCTACAAATTTTAGCTGAGTTGAGTTGGCAGTATATAACGTATGTTTGCTCAATTTGAAATATTTAATAATTCCCATCAGGTATTTAAAAATAATAATCCTGATTCCCTTCCCCTGCTACCTCAGGCTGCAGAAGCAGTATGTTTTGTGCCCCGTCTGTACTGTAAAACAAGAGTCCGCTGCTGTTCCTGTTGGTGGGTTCAGCCTGTTGTGGAGGGCACCGGGCCGGACCTTTCCTCATCGCCCTCTGACTATGCTACCTGATAGCACGGCTCAGCTCTCAGCGATGACTCACTCTATTTAATGAGTTTTCCTGAAGCGTTATGTCGCCAGCTGTTGACCACCCTCGAGAGATAGTCCTCATCATCACATAAGAGATAGAGCTCTATATTTAGTGTGTACTAGAACTTGCTACTGTCCTGTTTTTTTCCCCTCTTGTTGGGGCAGGTGCATCATCGTTGTGTTACAGTTTTTCTGATGAACTGTTCTGAAAGACTGAGTGAACTGGAGGGGATTTAAGGGCAACAGCAGTTTGGTGGGAGTAGAACATGCTTGTCTGCTTCTTGTTTGTGTTATGCAACTGTAAAAACATACTAGAGCGAAACACTACATACTCATGAACAGCTTTTGCCGGAGAAAATGTTTTCATCCTTTAAAAAAAAAAAAGAAGAAGAAACCATGACAGTCTAAGGATTTCTAAATTTATCTCCAAAAATCTGAATAATTGTCGCGGTGTCTTTGTGTGTATTTTGCTGAAGATAAAACCTATTGAGGATTATGTGTAGTTTTTGCATAGATTCACACTCTCTGTGGGGTTTCTAGTTTTGCATGTTTACTTGATCGCTGCCTTTATAAAATGAGTGTGAGTGTTTGTCAAGAACTTGTTATCAGGGTAGATGACTTTGGCCTATCTGCCTGCATTTTCACAGATCGTTTCCTTGATAGACGAGGTCACCTTACTGCCCATAAAACAGACTAACTACTCATTATGGGGCCATTTTCTGTCAACTAATGTGGACAACCCATAATCCTTTTAAATTTGATGATTGGAAAGTTTATTTGCTAATCCTATTTCGCTGTCTCTTTTTGGTGTGTCACTGATGATACCTTTTCTAACGAGACAATCTGCCTGCTCTGTCAGTGAATGCAGAAAGTTACATATTCATTAGTGCAGCTGTTTAAAACATAAAATAAGCCTCTCTCCTAGTCGCTGTCTTTAGCGCAAACAGTTTAGGGAGCCCAGTGTTTTAATTCCATTCAATTATATGGCTGTTTTGTAAAGTCTAAACGGCTCAGGTCTGCTTCAGGGAGAGACGTGGAGGAGCTCTGCAGGCTAGTCGCAGCAGGCGGTGGATTTAGCATTTCTCTCCCGTCTCCCACCCCCTTTCCCTTCTCCCATGATACCTGACCTTTTGTTTCACTAACAAGGGCACGAATGATGTACAATACCTTGGCAGGAGAGGCACTGAATGGCACACAAGGTGTAACCAAATCCTAATAACTCCAAGGGGCACCTTGATTCATTGATGCAAGTTTCACCTTAGGAATTTAAAATGATGGAGTGTGACAAAATAGGTAAACACGATGCTACTGAAAACACCATTAACTGACAAAGAGGAAGAAAATCCTAATATAATAAATTGAGATAATTGGCTGCAGAAATAATATTATATCAGCTCAGTGAGATGTGAAACACAAAATGCAAAACACAGAATTAATTGGCAGTGGAGTGGTGCTTTTTTTCTGAGTTAAAACAAAAGACTCTTGTTTGTCTCTCCTGAGCTATAATGGCAGGTGTTCTCTTTATCCTCTTGAGCCAAATATCGCATTCAGTGCTGATTTAGTGTCTTTGTCTCTGTTCATTTCCTCTAAGGATTTGAAAGGGTAGCAAGGATTAGTGTAATTTCAAACCCCTGGCAGAGCTTGGCGATGCGAAAACCCTATTCCCAACCATGAGAGTGGAACCATTTGAGGGATTAGAAACAGATGTGTTAAACGGAGATGGAACAAAAAATCAACTCTTGGAAAAAGCAATTGTTTTAAAATGAGACTGCGGTTTGACTTTTAACCTTATTCACTCACAGGTGATCAGACTCAACGCCCACTCAAAGCCACAGTCGCATCCATGATGGGTTACCTCGACACAAAAGCAAATATCATGTCACTTCCTGAGAGTTGTCAGAAGCCAAATTGGTGCGGGTGACATTTCTGGGCTTTTGTCCGTGTATTCCCAAAATAATGCAGTCTGAGTGAAAACTGGGGCACGTTCAGTCCTAGATTAAATGTGGTCGCTCTTCTCCCTGTAGGAATCTGAGGACTGTGACGGTGGGTTGGTAGCTGGCACACAGTGGTCTACATAGACTGACAGGCCATTTAACCCTCATTTTCTTCTGTTTTTTTTCTTTGATCTCTTTACAGGAAGAAATCGCAAAAATGGGATGAGATGAACATCCTGGCGACGTACCACCCGCCTGACAAAGACTACGGCCTGATGAAGATAGATGAACCCAGCACACCTTATAACAGGTTAAAAGCTTCAGTCACAAATATTCCTAATAACTCTTTGTATTGGTATGGCAATTTAAAACATAGTCGTGGTGTTTTTTCCAGAGCCGATATCGATTATTGTCATAAGAACAATATTTGAAGCTGATAACATTACATGTTATATCTTAGCAGCATGTGATGACAGGGAAGCTGTCATTCACAGCTAGGTTACTTATTAATAAGGATTACTATAGCTGAAAAAGTACAACAAAAATAGGAGGGCTGACGTCAGAGCGTCGCATGATGCTTGGACACTTTTCTCTGTTAACTGTGAGATTGACTGATTTAGATGGAACAGCTTTTCTCCTCTTCTCCTGATATCACAGTTCTTTGCTGTTCTTTTCAGTTTTATTGCCCACTTAAGCCTATATCTGAAAGCATTATTAGCGAATGTTTTCCAGACACTGTTTTGAGGTAATCTGTGGCTGCTCCTAACTTAGCTGGTAGCCAGTAGATTCACCTTCGCCACTGTGAAAGTAATCAGCATCCTGTTTTTGGCAAAGGCTTTGCTTCTTGTTCAGTTTTTGTGGGTTGTCTCTGCTAGAGTCATGTGTCCACCAGTTAGGGTAGATTTTTTTAAAGTTAATCTGACTTCAGAAATATGTTACAGTACTCCAGGTAGCATTAGCCACAGGCTAAGAGGCACAACAAGCCTTTTCGTGATAGCGTTAAGCATCCTGAAAATAAGTTCCACTTTCACTCACGCTACCAAGTGCATTATTTTGGCATTTTGAGTGAAACAGGCAAATGTGTGATTCAGATGTTTCTTTCAACTTGAGCAACAATATCTACCTCATCTTCCAAACTTAGCTCCTGGAGCTGCTTTGCTCTGCAATGTGCTCATCCATCCCTGTCGGTAGTTTTCATTGTTGACTGGCTCACAATATCCAAGAGACAATGTTGAAGTGCTGTGGGTGGTGTAGTGCTTGAGAACAACAACAGAGAAGAGGCTAAATCAGAGTCAAAGTAGCGCATTTATGGGCATACTGATAATTGGAAAAATGATAAATAAAGGCCCCAGTAATTGCCGAGGCTGATCCCTAATTTCAGATCATAAGATAGACTCAAAAAGTATTTGCATTAAGAATACATATGTCACAATACAGAGCAAGGAAGCTCCACACTGTGGACCACAGCTCAGCCGACACCTGTGCTCTCAGTCACCAGCGTGGAGAGCTCCAGTGCTGAAGGCTACTGATGTGGTCCATGACAACACTGATTCTGTAGATTGTGATCACCTTGAAAACATGCTGCTCGAGATTCATCCATTAATGTTCGTCTGTAGTATTAGACTGCCGTATGTGTGTTGGTGTCTCAGGAGGTTTGTAATCAGTAAGTCTGCGTGCTCCACCCTGTTTACAGATGAATGTTTTTCCCTCTTCACGGTCCTCTTTCCTGTTCTTCTTTTCCTCTCTGCCCTCATTCCTCTCCACACTGTATCTCCTCTGTCATTTTGTCCGTGTGGCTATCTGATTCTGTTTCCTTTTCTTCCTAATCCTCTCTCCCTTGCTTACTCAGATAACTTTTCTCTTTCAGGATGGTCGGGGATGACGATGATGAGGGGGCGCTGAGTGATTCGGACGGCCAAAGTGGGCTCGCAGCGGATGACCTTGCATCAAAGTAAGAATTAAAAGTGATTGTTGGGAGACAAGTACAAACCAAATTCACAGATGGAGAGGGTGGAAGTGAGAAATGGAAGGATGGATAATTAGGTTAGATGCTGTAACAGCGCTGCTACATTTTTGTTTTGACTTCCTGTAACTGGTGCAGTGTTTTAGATTTTTAATGAAGTAGAAATGTAATCTGGAAAATGGAGAAATAGCCCAGATAAGCCACACCTGATCACACACTGTAAGGTTGATGTCATCCAACAGGAATGCGTCACAGCAATATCTGATAAGGCTTTATTTACTGTACAGAGGCTGACCTCTTTAGGACACTCAGAGGCCTCTTTACTGCAGTGTTACACAAAACTTTTTGGACAACGCTCAGGTCACTTTGCCAAAATGTTGTAATACCATTATTGTTGGAACATCACATTGCACGAAACATAGTAGTCAATACTTCTGCTCTGATTTACCACAGCAAGCAACACTGAACAACTTGCCTGTTCATTCAATGACACTCAAAAGAAGTATGCATAGTTTAAAATATATATATATTAATTCACTTTTCCATTGTCTAGTATACAGAGGAATAAACTCCCACAAGACGATGTCACTGTGTTTGTTACCATTATGTGTGCACATGTGTTTTAATTTATCTGACTGATTATGTACATTATGAGAAAACACACCTGTAAACATGCTTCTATATTGTGCACAACATACACAAATCTACCAAAGCGATGTTATTTTAGGATCCAATCTCATGTTACCATCTCGTGTGTTGTGTGGAGGTTGAACATCAGACGATGGCATTCCTTTGTTTTCATGGAAATTCTTCCTCTGCATTTTCGTTCTGAGCAACACAAGCTGCTGATCAATAAACAATGGGATTTTTTGGGTGTTTCCCATCTTCCTTGAATTTCAATGAAATGCATTGAAAAATATAAAAAAATAGCTTTAAATCACACTGGCTGTTAGTATTACAGACTTGCTGCTTAATTTGCTTTATATGCTTCAAACTGTGTTTTAACTTCTGGAAGACATTTGCTTATTGTTAGTGATATTTTGAATGAACAAAACTACATAAAGATGTGGTTCACCAGTGGAGAATATATAAGATACATGTGTGGTGTATTCCCAAGATGTTATTCCCATTTTTAAAAAAAACAAAACGTTTTAGTTGAAAGAAAGCTTACTTTTTTGAATGTGTCAACTGACATAATATTTGTAAATTATAGATTTTGCAGTGATTGAAATGGTTAAAGCCTGTTTCTGAAGCTGCCATGACATTTATAAAAGTTGAAAATCTTCCTGTATATGAACATAATTTAAATGTAGAAATTTGACATGCCGTCTTTTGGAGTTTTACTAAGAAATGTATAGATGCAGAGGAAATTATGAACGAAAGCTTCATGTTATGTGAAAGAACAGTGGTTTCACCAACATAACAAGCAGAAGCAAAAAGAGAAGAGGAGGATGAATAACATCTTTGACCATCTCCTGCAGCTTTGGCCTGAAAAGTCTTTCTGCGCCAAGGAATGTGTATCTGCCACTCAGAGCTGTGATCTGGATGGTAATGGAAGCTTGAGAAGTGTATTCGCTGTGGGCCACCGCGCTTACATAAGTGCATTGATGCAGGGATTGGATGAGCTCGTTGGAGTGTTTGAGTGTGTGCGCTACAGAGAGGACGGAGATTAGCTCCAGGCTCGCAAGTCAATTAGCCGCCTTTGTTTGCTTCCACAATGAGTGCCTTCCATTGTTTTACACTAAACCCTTCAGATAGTACAGCAGCTGCTCTTTTCCTCCATCCTCTTGTTTTTTTTTTTCTCATCCAGTCTCCCTCTCTCCTCTTATCTGTCACTCATCCACCTGTGATTCTTTTCAGTTTGCTTCCCTCCTTTCTGCTTCACTGCATTTCTTCTACTTTTTCCTCTTCCGTCTGTCTTTGGCCTGTCTGATACCATTTCTGGTGCACTTGGAAACTGTAGGGAGAGTTGACAGTGTTCTCTGTGGCTGAATCAGGCCAGTTGGTTGGAGAGCAGTAGTACAGTAAATGGGAGCTTCCCTGGAGCAGTTACACATATTCACTACCACCCATTCAACCATAAACCATTATTCATTTTGTCCACCGCTGTTAAAGCTCTTTGCGAGTGTGAGAGACGGGGATAGTGAGTCGTTATTTTTGTCTCGTGCTTGAGTAGTCACACACACACAGTCACATCTCTAGACTTTCCACTCTGCCTACTCTGTCCTCTCTAATACCTCTCCATCTGTGTTCCTGCCGTGTCTGTTTCCCTCTGTAGTAAGCCTTATTTAAAAGTTTTATATTCCCTCCACGGTGAGTTTAGGAGGATCTATTAATGGTCTGAGGTTAGTAACGCATTTAATGTGGACAGATCGCAACAGTAAAAGTTGGGATGGAAATACTTTAAAGAGGCAATTCATTAAATCTTCTCACCTATCCCTTCCCTTTCTGTTTGTTTTTGTCTTGTTAAGGTTGGTGGCAGCTGAGGGCTCAGAGCCTCGCTTCATGAAAGAAGAAGAGGAGGAGGAGGAAAGCAGTGAGGAAGAGGAAGAGGAGCTGACTCCTGAAGAACAAGGTACACTTTTTCTTTTCTAGTTACCTTCATCGACTGAGTTTCAGTGGAATATTATTGTTTGATTATATTATTCTGGTGTCAAAAAAATTAAGTACCAGTCGAAAAGCCGCAGCTGAATGAGAGAGGTGCGTGTCAGCATCCCATAGCAAAGGGTTTTGTTGCTCACTGTGGTGAGTGCGTCCCACAGTTCACCTGTTTATTTATACCCTCCACCTTCATACAAAGTGCAGCTGTGAAGGTGACTAAATTCAGGGTGACACTGCTCAGTGGCTGGCTGGTTGGTAGGGAGGGATCAGTCTGGGAAAGGGCTCGAGTGTTTTTTGGGCTCTTTACCGTTTGCTGACTTCCCTCAAGACGGACACACACACACACACACACACACACACACACACATATACACACACACGCCCTGTGTCAGCATGCTTTTGACCGTTCTCTGACCTTGCCCCTCTGTGAACACTCTGAGACACACTCCTCTGCTGCATAGCGCGCACTCACACACTCACGCACACACTATACTTTTGCAACAGAATCCATTTTGGCTGCTGGCCTTTTGTTTCATATTTATATCTGGAGCAGACTGGAAACCTACAAGTCCGATCAATATCATCCAACTGCAGAGCTGCAGCTGCAGCAGTTTTTGACACATAGTTCTAGTGATGCCAATTTGTGCCACCTATAGGAAAAATATAGAATTTTTTGTAGTTTTTTTTTTTTTTCCTTTCCACATCACATTTTTGGGAGGGAACACGATGTACAAGACATATTCTGAAACTGTTTTCTAATGCAAGACAAACATTGTCTGATATCCACAAAGATGTTTTACTGAGTGTAAAAATGGATGAGAAAATGAAAAGTAGGTACATGTGTTAAAAAGTGCTGTATCCCACCCCACCCGCCTGTGCTGCCAAAATAGCTCTGAATTATCGGTGCATGGCCACAGGACCTCTGGGGGTGTTCTGTGGTGTCTGGCACCAGGATGTTGGCAGCGGGTTGTTAAAGGTTCGATCGGATTGGGATCGAGGGAGCTTAGAAGCCGGGTCGATGCCATGGGATTTTTGTTGTGTTGCTTGAGCTGTTTCTGAGTAGTTTTTTCAGGTGTGTCAGGGCACATTGTCCTTTTTGGGGGAGGTTGTTACCATGAGAGACTGCGATTGCTGTTGCATCGCAACTAGATAATCAATGTTTGTCACCTTTTAGTGGATTTAATGTTTGGCAGATTGTTATGTATGTTTCTATCTAGCAGTAATCTTTGTACTTTTTCTCCAGACAGTTAAATACAGTATTGCTAGTATAACAGACAAGCCCCACAAAAGGTCAAGCTGTCTTCCAGTGTATGCATTTTTTTTTAAAAATACTTCAAAAATGAGACTATATTGGAAGTAAATAACCATAAATGGTGTTATATTGAATATATGTAATTACAAAGTTGTTTCTCTTGTACAAGTTTTCATGTGAAGTCAGTTGTCAGTGTTTTGAAGAGTTCATATCCAACAAGTAAAATAATAATAAATACTTGTAACGCTGTTTGTGTTAGAATTAAGTCTTAACAACTGCATTGCATTGTCAGGATTCAATTAACCTCCTATTTTAAATTCACGTTAGAAACTTGAGTGCTGATCAAATCAGCTAAAAGAAATGACAAAGCCCGGTTCAGACGGCACAAATACTTGACTCAGGTGAACATACACCTCTTGGGCTCGTACGCGCTGTTGGAGGTGATCAATGCCTGTCCTCAAAGAGGTCATGTGGGCTAATTAAAGCTAATCAGAGCGTTTCCATGACTACGGTGCTGCATGGCATTTATGTGAGGAGTGTGTGCTGCTGTGTTCACTGCGCCAAAGAAAGTACAGCAAATGATTTTGACCTTTCAGGAGTTCATGGGGGAAGGACAGAGAATTCCTGTTCACTAAGAGGTTCGTGGATTTGCTCTGTTTAGAGTGGAAGTGAACCCAAACCAAAGGGGTCAATTTTCTCCTGTTGACTCATACGATGAACACCCTTTCTGGAAAGCTCAAACTATAGCTTATGCTTGAATTGTATTAAGATTATTCAGATGATACATTCCAGAACAATGACGTTGTACTCGCATCTGTGTCATGCTCCACTTCTGCCTCATTTTAGTGCAATCACCAGCCAGCAAAAAGTTACTGTCTCCTAAAATGAGTGTCATATTTGCAAAAATAAGTTTGTAAAGAAAGAACAAAGACACAGGAGAATGTTTTTGCATGTTGTTGGAGCATGAGGAAAAGTTCAACCACTGTTACAGCAAGCTGGTCACGTGCCAGCTTTACTATTAACAACCATTAATTGTACATGCATCCATTGGTTTTAAAGTAATTTCAAATCGCTCTTATCCTGTAGCCAAAAAGAAGCATTTTCAGATGATGAGGAAGATGCATTACAACGAGGGCCTGAACATCAAGCTGGCCCGCCAGCTCATCGCCAGCGAGCTAGAAGATGACGAAGACGCAGATGAAGAGATGAGGGATGACACAGAGGAGCCGAGGGAGGACACAGAAGAGACAGAGGAGATCAGTGTTGACCCACCACAGGAAGGTAAGGCGTGGGAGATCGTGTCCCTGTGCATATGTGGATAAAGGATTTGGACAGGTTCCAGTTGAATAAATTTAGCAGAACCGTGGTGTTTTAGCAAAACCCGCAAAATGTCCACGCAGCGCATAGAAATAATGGTTTTGCTCATCATCAGCGTGGATGTCATTAAAGTTTGCTGTGGTTCATGTCTTCACACAGCTGAGCATCAAAATGAGGTCCCAGTATTTTAATAACCCACTGTGTGTATATGAACACAGTGCATTTTAACAGTATGCAATAAAACATGCAGTCGTTTTCAGCTTTGCAAAATAGAGTATTATTGAGCTGCTATATGCATATATTTGCAGACATGGGATGCATAGCATCACTGGCTTCATTAATCTGGTAAAGTGAACTCTCAGTTTTATATTGATAAAACATCATATTGATCCTGTTCCTGCTGAGTATTTATCAGGCTCAGAAAAAAGGAAAGACTCCACAAACGGCTGAAATTAACAAACTAAGCTTCAGCTCCTGTGAAAGTTTTGTCAAAACCCAGAATACATTTATGACTGGGGCGTCTCATCCGTCTTACTGTTACGGACTGTGTCTTTATTGCAGTAAAGTTGTATTTTTCCTGACTTCTAATGTGTAATAGATGTGAAATTGTAGGGCAAAACAGAGGAGAAAGGTGTTCTGTGATTTTGGCATGCAGACTATGTCTTCTGCTCTGTCATTGACCTTTCGAATTCTTTGTACGTTCTTATCATTTATTTATTTACTAGCTTGTGTATGTTACTCTTGTAATTTTCATTTTATCTTACATAGGGCCTTTCATATGTCTGTGAAGATTCTCAGTCATCCAGGTCATGTTTATTGTGGCAGATTAATCGTAGCAACTGGACTTGCTTGAGTTCCTTGAAGATGTTTCACCTCTCATCCAAGAGACTTCATCAGTTCTGACTGATGAAGCCTTTTATACTTCAAAGGTTTTAGTTTTTAACTCCAGTGTTTCATCAGGGGGGTCCTCCACACTGGGGGCTGCGTCGGGTCTGTGACGGCATGCAGTTTAGACGTCTGCCATGTTCAAAGGGAAGTTTAGATCAAAACCCAACCTTTAATAAATTATCCTAATTAAACTAAAATTGAGTGAAATTAAAATGAAACGTACTCGGACAGATTCCATCGGCTCCTCTGTTTGCAGGATTAAAGAACAGCCAAAATAATCGGAGCACTGTTTCCTCCTCTATCTAATCTCATGCCTGTGTGTCTTTTCTCCAGCTGACTCTCTGGACTCGTAGATGTCGCCTCCCACCATCAGCCCTGTGTGTCCAGACAGACAATGCCACTGCGCTCTGTGTCTCAGCACCGAGCCGTACAGCAAACACCGCTTCACCACCCATGTAACAACTCCCCACAGCCAATAACCTCCCGGTCACCTGTCTGTCTCTACTGTTCCTTAGAACTGTGCAATATAACCCTCAAACAAACTGGTTTCAACTCCCAAGAATCCGTGCAGCACACAAGGAAAGACTGTTGCTCCCTCCTCTTCCCTCTCCTGTTGCCAAGAATTTCCTCCTCCCACTTCTGCTGGACCGGCGTCGCACTGAAGAATATGTGATTCTGACCCTGAGAGGAGGATCAAGGCCTTTTTTTTTAACAACAACACAAAAAAAACTGTTGGACTCCCGTCTGGCCGCTCCACAGTTCCTCTGCCGGCCACAGAGCAGGCCAGGGGAAACCCCACGGCCTCACTGAAGGCATATCTGAGACGTGACGACGGCGCTTTTACTGGGTGCACCTCGGATGGCTTTTTGTTTTTGTTCGGCATTGCGACCCACCACCCTGTTGCATCGTCTTTCCACCTTCAATACCTTTTGCGACGGTCAAAATCAGTTTGGTTTTTATCCACATCTCTCTATAAATAGCTACGTACCTGGTATTACTTCCCTTGAAAATAAGATTATTTCACTTGATATTGGCACAATTGTGTTACAGCAATTAGGAACTATATATGTAGCCCGCACAGCCTAAACAGTAGTGAAAATTTGATGCCTTACAACCACCAGTATTTCCTACTAATCAACGTTGTGTGCTCTCGAGCTGAGGGTATAAAGATGCACGGCCAGGAGGAATAATGTCGAGAAACTCCGAAGTGTCGATGTAAACAAATGAAAGTTTAATCATGCTAACGGGGAACTCTCATTAACTCTCTCAACAAAATCTAACTTGTTTTTTTTAACAAATTTTTCCGATATTGTTGACAAACCCTAAAAATGTTCTGTGGGTTGTGAATATTTTGCCGTATGACAGGAAAAAAGTTTGCGAGTCGCTGCCTGTAGTGTCTGACGATGATGCTCACCTCCATATTTTTTTTTTTTGCGTTGGACCAATTACATCACATTTACCCTCAAACATCTTATTTGCTTTCTATCTGTACAAGCGAGAACACCACACCAAACCTCATTTCAGTTCTACAAACATGTATACCTCATAGACTCAAAAGGTCTTTTTCCAAATTGAATCCACAGTTATTTCAACAATTTGGTCGCACTTTTTTCAGTAAAATATTTCAAATTGATTCCCAGTTTCTGCACATGAGAAACATTTTGTCAGAGAACATCCCAGGACGAGCCGGTAATCCATTTCTGAGCAGATGTGTGTGTTTTAGTGGCCAGAGGAGTGACACTTAAGGTGTTTTAAAGAAAGCAGGAGGGACAGCACTGGAGTCTTGCTGCTGAGGTCTAGCACGTGCTACTGATAAAACAGGACGAGGTCTTGTAGGAGGAAAAAAAAAAAGAAAGCTCTCATCTTTAATAAGTTACAGCTTTAAGCACAGGGCTCTTAAGTAGATCTGATAAAGAAGATAACAGCGCTTGTCGTGCTTCGGTAATTTGTCATCACATCTGAGGATTTGTGTTGTTTGGAGGGAGGTACAATCGTCTGGTTTGTGTTGAATTTCTCACCTGGCTTCATAACACCTTGTTTAATGTGGTCTGATCTACTGAAGCGTCTTGTACAAAGCAGCCGGGGAACAATGTTGAAAGAGATGTTGTTTTTTTGATGCTACTGACTTTAAAGAGGTGGAGTAAAACCAAGTCTACTGGAGGCGTTTCAAAGATTTTTTAATTTTTTTTGGTAAAGTTTGGCGTTCTAACAGGTGTCAAGAAAGTTACTGCGTAGTCTGACTGACGTGCAGGGAGAGGGACGGGAAAGAAAACTGATCCTGGTGCGACTTTAATTGCACACTTGAAGTCTCCTGTGAGCTCCCGGAGGCGTCGCTACACACTGTACGACTTCACTCGAGTCCAGTAAACAAAAAAAGGGGAAAAGTATGAAATGAAAAAGCATGCGGGATGCTTCAGTATGTCTTGTGTTGTGATCTCTTCATTTCCCTTTAACTCCTCACTGTGATTGGAGGTGTTGAGCTTTGTATTGTGGAAACACAAAAGAAACATTGACCAACAGTATGACTTCTGCCAATGTCCCCTTTGCAGCTTTTTTTTTTTTCTTTCTTTCTTGTAGTTTAGTTTTTTGGTGGCGTTTTCTCTCCATGAGCTGAAAAACTCCTTTTAATGTAACCACCAACCAACAAACAAAACCACAGTCCAGCGAGTAGACGAAACATCCGAGCAGTTGATTATTTTTATTGTTTTTTTTCAATAAAACAGGAATGTGTCTGGAAATACAGGTTTTGACGATACTGCTGTCTTTTATCTTCGATCAGTGAATTTGATAGAAAACGACTGCAGCTGACCGATTTATCTTCTCGCTCGAGACAAAACATGACTGACACGATCACCCGGTCGGTGGTTATTTCCTGTCGAATGTGCCTCTTATGTATTTATGTACATGTGTGTAAAATGAACAGGCTATGCTCCATGTTGCTGTTTCGTTGCCTCATGTGTCGCTCTTTGTTTCGCACAACTTCTGCCCCCGTTTGATTGTTTTCTAAGAACGATAGACTGTTAAACAGCCCCTGACTCTGCACTGTGTCTGTCTTAAGAGGATGATGTTGAATCCAGGTGTTGTTGTTTTCTTTCTTTTTTTTTTTTTTTTTTTGTATTCCCAGTTTGCATGTCCTTAATCATCAGATTGTGCGTGTTCTGTTCCGTCTCCTATCATTAAACAGACGTTGTTAGGAACGAGTGTGTTTTGTGTTTGTTTTGGAGCTGAATGATGCAGAAAATCTGGACTAAACATGCGAGTGTGTCAGAAACTGTGTCGTATTAAAGCCTGGAGTTGCACAGCTTTTCTTCTCAAAAACACAGCCAGCTTTGATTTAGTTTTTTTGATTTAAACAAGTCAACAATTTGATGTCCCGTCTATGATCATCAGATGCCAAACAAACACAGAAAAATGCATATTTATGATCTATAAATGAACTTTTTTATCCAACTACTCCTCATATAACTCAGCAGTGATGGTAAGTAGGCCTTTTCTTAAATATACATCAATCAGCCACAATGTTAAAGCTACTACCAGAACAAGCTCCATCCAGGGAGATCCCACCCAGCACCCCACAGGACCCAAAGCATCTGCTGCTGACATACTTCCACAGGACACCAGCAGAGGTCCTGTGTTCATGCCTGAACTGGTCAGACCTGTTGTGGCAGCAGAAGGTGTAACTACACAATAATAGACGGGTGGTTTTAATGTTGTGGCTGACCTGGTGTAAATACTCAAGTACATTAAAAAAAAAAAAAAACACTCCATCTCAAGTCTTTATTTAGTTTGACTTAACCCTCCTGTTATCTTTGGGGTCAATTTGACCCCATTCAATGTGTAACATCTCTAAATAAGTCATTGACAGAATTTTTTCAACTTTATTTAAAGGGCTATTTCCACATAAACTTGGGTAACAATTTGAAGTCTGATATTTTCTGGAGGTTTAAATTGCTGCAAACTGAACCCAAAGATGAAAGATGTCGGTAAATCTGAAGGTAATAGGAGGGTCAAACTTAGTTTTTGTGTTTTAGAAATTAAATTGGAGAGATTTAAACCTTGCTGGTGTTAACTAATCCATCCTACTATTAAAAAATGTTACACCTGGGCTGCAAGGTGGCTCGGCGGTTAGCACTGTTGCCTCGTAGCAAGAAGGTCGCCTGTGAGGAAACCGGGATCATGGAGACTCCACGCAGAAAGATCCCGGGTGTCCTCACCGGGACACGAACCGGCGACCTTCTTGTTGTGAGGCAAGAATGTCAACCACCACCCACCTTGTAGCCCCAAAATAATCATATATATATAATAGTAAAACACAGACTTGGAACACTCTTGTGCCAAAGAAGCACTTTTGATACTTTAAGTATATTCTGCTGACAATACTTACATACATATTACTATTATAATTGTTAGTGGTGCTTTTGCTTTATTTAAATGATCTGATGCATCTTCCACCTCTGCTCATGGTTGGTTTTTATTGCATAAACGAGCAAGTTGAACGCTCTAGTTCCTTTAAAGGCAGAAGAAACACATACAAATCTGAAACTCTGATAAGTGCAGAAAGACAGCAACACCGTCCATTGTTAATTTTATCTTTAAATTACAGTCACAGTGGGAATAAAATGTTTACTGACTGATGAAACACTGAGCTTTCCTGGCAGTGTATTCAATTAGATCTCTCCTGAACCACCAGATGGCGCTAGCACACAACACATCTCTCATTCCCGTAAGGATTTCTAGTAATTCTACCAGGAAAAAAAAAAGCAGGAAACTGTGCTCCTGCAGGGATTATCCTGCTGCATGTTTGCTCCGGTGTGAGTCTGCAGCTCAGAATAAACGCATCATCCGGCTCAGACACAAAAAATAGCCTCTCAGATGTGGAAGTTGTGTTTCATTCGTGGATAAAATGTTTTAAACGCACGTCGTCCTGCTCGTGTTTTAGTGCAGGAGAGAGGAGAGTTTGTTAAAAGTGTAAACCACGGAGGACGTGATTCCACTGGATCAGGAAGCTGCTGTCAACTCGCACAGAGATCGTGTCGGTGGAGACAGAGGCATCACTCCGCACACAGTGTCACTGCTACAAATAATCAGACAGAAAGATTATTTTGCAATCAGAAAACAAACTATTTTATTTTGTCCTTTCTGTGACACTTTGGAGCCTATAAATTATTTTCCCAAGAAGAAAGTCTCATTGTTTCAGCCTCAACTGTAACTTAATATGCTATAAATGTGAGAGCCATAGACAGTGAAAAAAAAGGTAAAAACTTTAAATATTGCTTTGGTTAAAAATATAGAAATTTCTTTTGTTAAAAGCTAAGGGTAAAATCTAACGTTAAAAATATAAATACTGATTTCATATAAAGTTTAGTTGATAAAGCAATTTATAAACGTTATTTCATTGGGTAAAGATAAGATCCTCTCCTTATAGGGACGCCTGTGACATTATAATTGTGTTTGAATGAGCGACAGGTGTGGGAGCACACAGATTTTCTACCTGTGGACGTGCAATGTTCAGTTTTTGATGGAAATAAATGGACATAAGCTTCGTCTTGGTCTTCAGCGTGAGAAACCTCCTGTGGTTCAATGCGGCTGTCCAGTGCTGTTTGAAACAGCCGCTACAATAACCAACAGGAAATTTATCTTGCAAACAGATGAAAAAGGTGAAAAAAGGAAAATGCAGCACATACATATATGGTAAAAACCCTCAATGTACAATTAAAACACTGTTTAGCAGAAACAGCTTCACACAGAACGCAAGTCACCATCATAAATATATAGAAAACAGTCATTAGATGACTTATCCTGAGAATTTAACAGTTAAATCCAAGTCTTCTCAGTGTCTTCTCATTGCCAAATAGGCTTTAACTTGACTTGATGCTTTAATGCATAGCAGTAAACACGGAAAAGTTCAATAAAAAAAACAAGTATTACAAGTCAAATAAACAGATACAAAGCAAATGTAGAAAACCAAAGCTATGATTAAGATATAAAGTGGGTAAAAATAGGTAGAATGCCCTTTAAGTGAGACTGTAAACATATTTACAACGTTATTTAAGTGAGACTTAACTGTAAAAGTAAGGATGAAGCCTTTATTTATATGTAGGCTACATTTGTAGGCGTCAAATGCCTTCAAGACAAAAAAAAATCTGCTGATTATTTTCCAACTTCTCAGAAACAGCAGTGAAGCACTAACAGGAGAACTGAGTCATTTTATATGAGAGCAATGATTCTGCGAATGTCAAATTATGGTTATATTAGAAAGTAGTCTTGACACAGAAGGAATCATGGCAGAAGGATGAGCCAGATATCAGTATGTTGGTGGAAATAAAACCTTTCATATGTTAGA